TTTTTTTTTTTTTTTTTCTATTTCAGCGTTTTTCACCTGAACGGTTCATTAAAAAAGTGAGCATGCAATTTCTGGAAAAACTGTGAATCAGTGCGGGAAAGCAAAATTATAAGTATCATATTAGCAGGGTTCGATATGAGGCACACGTGCTCTTCCTTAAAAAATACAGGTTAATATGTCTACATTTCGCTTTGTTTAAAAATTTCAAAATGTGGAAAAATGCTAATGTATACTCGTGCGATTTGCATGTTTACGCATATGTTTATGAGTTGCCGCCTTTTACCAATTGCTCTGCTCCTTTCTCGTTGCATTGATGTCAATAGATTTTTCAGAGAAAAAAAAAGAAAAAACTCCGCCACAGAGAACATCCAACATTAATGCAACGTTGATATATCCCTGGCACTCTTTTTTCATGGGGGAGGAAAAATAAACGGTCCAAAAAAGAGCCACAATGAAAGGGGGGAAAAAAAAGTTAACTTTTCCTATCGTGTATCGGTCTGCAAGTGGCTACATGCTGGTGTAGATACATTAACGCGCAAAATAAAGGAAGTGCTGTGTTGCACCTTTTCTGTGTAATGCTTATTTTCTACCTTTGCGAGAAATTTCGCATATACTAAAAAAGATGAAATGGAAAAAAAATGAGGATGCATGTTGCTAAGTATGTCGGTAAAGTTTTGTCCAATCCTATGATTCCTCCTGTCCGTTCGCTCACATATTGAAATTTTGAAAAATCCTCCTGCCAACCTGACAAACGCGCACAGTTGTACATATCTCCACAAAGGAAACACCCCCCAAAAAAAAGAAAAAACTCGCACATCTAAAGAGCAAATATATACTCAATCCGCCCACACCGCGCAGTCAGGCACTTCGTTAAAATGGACCAGGGGGTGGAAAAACTGCTGAACCAAATCAACGACCTGGAGTCTAAGAACCGGTTGATTTGCATGCAAATCGAGGAGATGAAAACCACTGAAAAGGAGTTGCAAAAAAGTGAGAAGGAGGTAATACCCCCGTAGACACACAACTCTCATTAAAAATTGGGCATATTGCCCTGCAGAAGATGTTCCCTTTATGCATCCCACCGTGTCATCTTTGCACGATTAAAAAAAATATATATGTTTTTTTGTTGCCTATCATGCTGGCTAGCTCGTGTCAGAAATAGAAAGCATTTGCAAGCAACTGAAAAGTATGGAAAAGGAGGAAATCGAATTGGTGAGGAGCGTTCGGGAAGAGGCGTTTGCTTAGTTCCCATTTGTGCCATGCCTGTTGTGCGTATCTCTACACACGTGCAGCATGCGCTAGTAATGTCCACCACAACAAACACTTCTTTTGTAACCAATCAGAATAACGACATAACCCGCGTGAACCTAATATGTAAAAATGTGGAAGCAACACTGCACAACGAATTCGTGAAGGTCGAAATAGCAGGTTATCTTCCTAAAACGCGCCGCTTTATGGGAGGTGTTTGCGAATGCCAACCAAAATGGCGGTGTTCATTTTTCGAACCCCAATTTTTTTATACTCTTATGCGAATATATTCCTAGCCCACTGCACAGATGGCCGGATGATGGTGCTTAGGTGTATCCCTACTGGCAGTTAAACCATAGTTAGGGTACACGAAATGGTTAAAACTTCTAAAGTAGAAACTAAACATTGGTGAACTTGTCCTTCTCCTCGTTTTCCTTACCTAACTCCACCCGTAGCTCAAAAAATTAATCAAGTATATTACCATGAAGAAAATGATAAAAACATCAACACCGAGTTGGGCAAAAGTACCGACAAGGTAAAGGACTGTCTAAATAAAATGGACCATTCGAATGACGACTTAATTGCGTTAAAGGAGGTGCAAAAAAAGAATTTTCTTTTAAATAATGTTTCGATAGAGGACCTATACGAAATTTATGAGGTAAAAAGGAAAATTAAAAACAAAAATACACATCACGGTTTTGCGCAATGTTTCGAGAAGGTGCTGCGACTTTTCGAGTTACTCCATTATAAGGGTCGAATGACATGGGCCCCAAAGACTTCTTCCCCTACCGAAGCATTAGCCCATTATATATGTGCTTTTCCTTGTCTAACTCGTTTTTGAGTGCTGTTTCACTTACCCATTCACACTTCGCACAAACTCCAAATGAACAAACTGCGTACTCACCACATGTAGGACACCAAAGAGCAGTACCAAGAGAATTCCTTCAAGAATCAGTGCCACAAAATTGCCATTGTCGATTATAAAACTCATTCGTACTTTTGTAACCCCACTCACTTGATACACATGGTAAGGAGGAACAAAAAAAAAATCACAATTTCAGTTTGGTAGAAGAATTAAATTTTTCTTTGTTCCCCCCTTTCTTAGACAAATATACTAACCGAAAAAGTAAGAGACAGTACCCCTGACCAAAATTTTAATGTAAGTGGAAAACGTTAAATGGAGATGAAACTGCGTTGCTCCTAGCTATGCTGTATACAGTTGCAAAAATGATACTCCTCCACAAAAGTGAGCTATATATGAGCGCACACAAACAAACAAACGTAAACGATTCATTTTTCAGTTTGCAAGCCTCGCCAGCTACTACGGATTGAACGAAGGAACGAAGAAAGAACGGATAGAAAATTTCGGCTTGTCCGAGTTGAATAAAATAATGATAAATCACTACAAGGCGAAGAAGATTAATGTGAACAGCTCTACGTGATGTCACCAAATTGGTGGTACCACAGTGCAATGGGTGCTGCTCCATGGGTCCCGTTTGCATGATTGTTAAGGGGAATTCTGTTATTAATGTTCCCTTTGTCGTCCTTTTTTTTGTTCGTGCCGCAATGTATATGCACCATTGGGTTAAAGTGCGGACTACCTATCGGTGTGATGTAAGTAGTATGGCCACCATTGCCCCCACGTGCATAGCTTTCCCCTTACCGAGCCTACATAGCTGTAAATTAAAATTTGCAGAATAGCTTTGTTTGTCTTAAAGCGTTGCGCAGTTAAGTGTTAATCGTTAATGCGGCCACAAGTACGTGTGCTATGATGAGATGTGTTGTCGTGTACCTCCGTCAATGTTTACACGCCGTTGTCGTTCCGTTGTGTGGTCTCTCTACTCTGTTTTATTTATTCATTTTTTTTCCATTTCGCTTTAGCCTAATCCTTTAAAGCGAAAAAGTTCGTTTGACACTTAAAGCGCCAAAAGTACGTATGGGGCATCGTTGTTCATATGGGCGCAGTGTTATCTTCGCGTATTTCGCGTGATAATTTCCACTAAAGTTGCATAATTGTGTTCGTCAAAGTGTAACTACCCCCAAAGGGGAAAAAACTACATGGCGTTCTGTAGACGCGTTAAATTTGCTCATAACAAAAAAGGACAAAAAAAAAGAAAAGAAATAAAATATACGTGAAAACGTAGAAGCATCGTTACCCCAATGACACGACACGATGAGTCCACTTCTGCTCCTCCTTTGGCGACGGCTGTAATTTTATTTAGGTTATAACAATTTGGGCATTCACGTGAAAATGAGACCAACACTTAATTTATTTGTATAGAATACATTTTGTTTTTCTCTGTCTTTTTCGCATGGAAATAAATCTTTATTACATCAAAAAATAAAGTCGTAAGGTTTTTTATATCAACAACGGAACAATGCAAAAAACAGGTGCTACAAAACGGTACGTTGTTACTTCACACTGAATTAAGAAGTATGCGGGGGGTAGTGGTGTGCAAACAATTAAAGATGTGTATACGGGTGTATTCGCGTGCATTCGTGTGTATGTATGCCCATGCGCATACGCATATGCATACGCCCGCGAATAGGGCTGCCAAAATATGTGCACGTACGAGTTGACGCACGCGAGCGGGGTGCGCAAATATACATGCGCACAAGTGCAGATGTGCACATGAGCATGGTCCCGCGAAATGTAAGAGGAATGTTATCTTCATAACTTTTGCGGCACATTTTAAAAAAAAAAAAAAAAAAAGCAAAAAAAAACGACCAAGCTGATCTGCATGCGCAATGCGTCGAGAAACCGAGCAACTGAACAATATGTGCGCATCTACATTGGCACACCTGCACAGTCATACGCATTCTCGCGCGGCAAGTACTCCCCCCTCATGTGAGTAGGGGCGTGTCGGACAGGTCGATTTTTCTACATATTTTGCAGGCATTTTCGTCGTGACGCTCCCCAAGGTCACATCCACATCGCCTTGAAAACACTTTCGCCGTCTCGTCCAGTTTATTCATATCACATGGGGTGACCGACTTGTACGTATTGTATATACTCTCTTCATGGGCAGGCTCACTCAGCTTTGTCACTTGTTGCACGATGCCCGTTGCGTCCGTTGAGAGAGTTATCTGAGAACCCGTTTCCAATTTGTCGCTGTTGTTATCGTACTTGTGCGATTCTGAATATATGTCCGAATTTGATCTGTCTAAATCGTCCAGATTATTTTCATCAAAGGATTTATTTTCTTGTACAGGATACTCTATAAGATCTTCATTTTCCTCTTCCTGTTCTGGAGGATCTTCTACCTGATCTTTCAGGTCCTCTATATCATCTGGAACCTGCTCTGGGTGTTCTTCAATTTCGTTTTGAATAAATTGGCGCTCGGCTAATTCGTCTATGTCTCTTCTTTTAGGTTCCCTCGCTTTGTTTTTTCTGCAGTAATTTCCCATTGTGTAAGAAGTGATCCACTTGCTTTGGTTACCGCTAACGGTGTTTGTTAAGGATTACACGACGTCTGGGGGGGGAGCGTGCGCGCTGTGTGTGTGACGTGTGTGTACAGTTTGGTCGACACAGGAAGAACCTCCCTCAGCCTTGTATGAATTTAATTGCGTTATATGTGTACCTATCTCTGTACATGTAAACGCGCAAAGGCACGTGTCAGTGCGAAATCGTGAAGGTGTGCACGCTTTAGTGTGTGTGTGTATGTATACTGATTTATACACACATGCACCACCCGTCTTAATTCGTGCGAATGATTATTTTTGTGTGCTCGACTAACACATGCGTGTTCATAATATGTCAATATTATTTGACTATGTATTGGATTAATTCGTAAATTTTCTGGTCTTTCTTGAGGAAAGGAGGTAGAAATTGGGAAAAAAAAAAACACAACAAAGGGATTAATAATTACACGGAATTAAACAATTAACAATTTTTTTTTTCTCTTTTTTTTTTTTTTTTTTCTTCCTGCTTGTTTCTCTTAATGTGTGCTTTATCTTTTGTTTAATAAAATTTAAAGAAAGAACATTTTGTGACAAGAAAAAAAAAAAAACAAATAAATAAATAAAATTGTAAACACGTGAATAAGTAAGTGAAATGCGAATGAGTAATAGGATGGATAAGCACATGAATAAGTGAAAAATCATCCAGTCAATCAGTACATGCGCGAGCGCTAACACAATTGAATTAACACGTTTACCGCAAGGGCGGAAAATCAGTAGAGAAAATGACGAACAAATGTGCAAATGGAAAGGCGGAAATTAATTAAATCAAAGACCAGAAAAGGCCAAGTCAAAGCAAAACAGGGAGTTGTATAAAGGCGGAAAAAAATGCATAGCAAAGTTAGCAAATGTATCAAACTAAAGCAGACTGGCACACTGGCAACATGGAAAAATGGAAAAATGGTAAAATGGTAAAATTGGCAAAGTTAACAAGTGTAACAGCACTTTTCCAAAGATAAAAAAAAAAAAAAAAAAAAAAAAAAAAAAGTTTTAACGGCATGAAAAAGCGCCAGTACCCGTGTGTCATTAGCACTTCAAAATTTCTGGCCTTTTTTCTGTGCACTTTATTGCAGACAGGCTTCAATATAATATTTGCTTTCGCGAAATAAAAAAAAAAAAAATGAGTACATCGAATGGCAACGCAAAATGAATCAAAACGAATAGCAATCATCAAATTCTATAACGCCAAAAGGTGACATAGAAAAAGTGGGGAACATTGGTTGACAAATCAAAGGAAAATTAAAAGTACAATGAAAATTTAGCAACATTTTAACATCACCCTTGCATTTTATTAGTACATATTTGCACACACACGCGTACACACATGTGCGCCATGCCTGGAAAAGTACTGTTCCCACAGCATATCGAGCTGTTCCTGTTATAGCTGTAGTTAGCCATTATGAGAAAAAAAAAAAAAAATCCATTGGTGTGCACACATAAGGAAGGTTTTCTAATTTTTGGCAACATCCCGAGACTTTTGCCTGAACCGTTCATACAAATATAACAGTCAGCTATTTTCATTTAAAAAAATAAAAATTTTAACGGGCAACACCGTTAGCAGTAGTATGTGGTTTCACGCGTCACATACTAAACGGATTAATATGTCTATGTGCCATGTTTGCGACTGTTTTGGAAATTCCCGCCAGGTGTGATAGCGATTGTCATATAGTATGGGCGCTCCTGCGTTATGCTCATTCGGCAAATGGCAGCAGATCCAGTGTCCACAAATGGATTAGAGAACGACCGGATGGACAAAAGAATGATTACACACATATTTATCCTTATAAGAGCGTCCCCCGTAATTACAACGTAATTCCTAATGCCCACACGATTCACGCTAAACTGTGTGTATCCGGCGCCAGCAAAGCGCTGTCGATCGCCCGCGTACCATCGGATGCTACTTTTTTGATTGTCTTTGTAGAGGCAAATGCAAACGCGCGAAAGCAGCACGCTTCGACATACGCATCGATTTTTCCGTACCTTTCGCTTAAAGGAATATGCACTTTTTGTGTTCTAATAATTTAATTTTTCTTTTTTACGTCCCACATGTGCAAGGGAACAAATGCAGACGCCCCTTTTTACGCAAAAGGTGTATCATATGCACTTTGTTTATCTTTACCCACATGTATGTATGTAAAAAATGAGTCAGTACACCATCAAAGGAGCACCCTACGCGCGTTACATAAAACGCATAGATCCACTGTTTCAAACCTGCGTGAAGCTGTCACGCGACAATGAGAACCAAAAACTAAAAAATGGGTAACCTTTATTGTTCCTATGGCCCATTCTGGCAATGAAAGTTAACTGTAGAGTGAATTGCCGCGTGTTACCTAAAGAGCGTCATCAAACAATCGCATTCGATTTTGCTAACGTGATAGACGCGCAAATTTTGCAACAGTGGCACGAAAGATAATAACACATCCGCGCAACATATCGGCTTTACGCCCTTTCTTAGATCGGAAAACGCACAGCACTAAACATATGCATACGCACAGTGTTTCAAATGGGCGGGAAGCGCAAAGGGTGAACTGAGGAACACAAGCACCATGTGCTCATGTGCGCGGTGCATAAAGAATGTATACTCAAAAAAAAAAAAAAAAATTCACATACACAAATGTGTAGCTCCAAGTTTCCATGGTCGTATGCATGTACGTGTGTGTATGTACACATGCGTTGTAAAAATCGAGGAACTCAAAACAAAACGCACAGATGGAAAAAAGCAAAAAGAATTATCGACCATAAAAACGAATTCCCCCAATTGTAATAAAGCCCTTTATGAGGTGGCTGTGACGAACACATAAAAAATAAGAGCATATTATGCATATTTTCAGGTAAAATTATCACACATATGAGGATGAACAGTGTGTAAAATTCAAACTTGTAAAGCGTGAAAGAGAGCCATTGCAAGTAAATGCCAACGCTGAGAGTCGAGTCTGGCCATGGTGTGCGTACCATTTGAGTGTAGCAGGAGGGGGTAACAACGTAAAACATACGTACAGGGTCAAAAGCGATGTATAATTGTGCCCCATGAGAGGAGATAAAAATGACACGTAAAAATTTTGGAGTACTAGCTAAGACAATAAAATGGGGTATTTTGATAAACGGAAATGTTTGGGAAAATAACGCCACATAGTACCTGAGTGTAATTATTTTGGAGTGCTAATTGGGAGTAATGAGGAGGCGTCCGAACTAAGGGGCAATATTGATGATTGATCTGAGAGCAAAAGACCGATGATTGAAGTGAGCAGAGTAATCCAAGTGAGAGCAATAACTAAATGAGAATACTGAGCAGCGCGAGAGACATAAGTAAAGGTTGAACGCTAGAGCAATGAGGCGAGGACAAATATTGAGCAGTACATGAGGGTGCCATTTTTGCGCACCATGTGGGGATACCAATTCTGAGTACATATCGAGGGTAATAATTCAATGTTATAACATGGGAGAAGCTTCGCTCGGAAGAAGTTATGTGTATTGAGGGGAGCACTGAGCGCAGGAGATGCTTGCAAGAGGTGCACGCAACTGTTGAGCGTAAAAATGAGGGCTCATGTGGAGCGCACATAACTGAGGAGACAACTTGTGTATCCACTGGAGAAGAGCAGAAGGGGACACCCACGAGGGACTACAACTTGAGAGTATAGCTGGGCACACGAGCTAGTGCAACAGATCAACGTAGTCTTCCCAGGACAGCCGTTGAGGAGAGGACTCGTGTGCGACATTGGCGTAACAATGAGGGAGAACAGATTGAGTGTACAAGTCGGAGCGACAATTTACTGCAAACAAGGAGTGATGGCTAACGAGTACCAGTTGAGGCTTACCCATTTTCTGCACTAACTTTCCTCACCACAATTACTATGTGGGGCTTCAAATTAAAGGCGCGCATAGATCTCGTTGCTCATAGCCCCCTGAACCCATCATCAGCAGATACGATTACAGGGACACTCGATAAACTATTCCATGTTCATGAAATTATTTGAAGTTGAATGTTTAGGAAATACAAATATTTAATTACGACTTGAATTAAAGGCAGGTGAAAAAAAAAAAAAAAATCAGTACTGGGGAACACCACGTACACGAATAAGCATTTTTGAGAATGCACAAAAAGGAAGACAACACATGCAATGCAATGTCTAGAAAATGCGACCATAGGCGTTTGCAAAAACCTGATGAAAGTTAACTCCAAAAAGAACCACAACGTGGCTGAAATTGCAGAGTGGACTATATTTATCTGTTTGGGGGCATATCCAGTTGCATGCCAATGTAACTCCCATTTTAGGAGTACAAACAGAAGATCTGCGCTTGGAACAAGCCTTTTCTGTGATCGTCTGATCCTTTGCATGGCGCGCAACACTTGGCGTTACACAAGATTATATCAGTGTCGCTTCCATTGAGCTTTCCATTCAGTTTGTTTTCGGCCCACACGGCCGCTATCCCATTTTGTCTCCTGCGTGGTTTTCCCCCTTATGTTCCCTTTTTTTCCACAGGAGATGGTATTTGGGGGGACCTTCGATGCGCACAGGTAAATACGTGGAGAGCGCGCGTGCTGGTTTGAGGTGGTGACAAGTGTAACCCAGATTGCGAATATGCATGTGAATGTGTTCATGTTAATGTATTCATGTGTATATGTGTATACGTACTTTTTTGTTTTTTCCTTTTTTTTTTTTTTTTTTTGCACGCGCCATGAACACAACTGCTTCGGCGCGACAAACGGTGGATAAATAGGCTAGTTCGTGCTCATCGCAACATTTGCACTGTGTCGTCAATAGTGTTGGTACTGGCGTACACCTGCTACTTTACATTGTGATCATGCGCATGGGCGTCTGCATTTCTTGCGCGGGGACAATGGTGGCGGGCATTTTTTCCATTAAATCTGCAAGGTTGCAGGCCTGTTGCTTCGCGGTGTCCTAAGAGCTTCTTCCTTTAGTGATGCTTCGTTGGTTGTACTTGCCCGAGTGACCGGTGGACCAGCGCACCCATCTGTTTTAAGAATAAATTAGCCCATGTTCCTCGAAAATTGGAGCAAGCTATTTTCAGCACCCTTTTTGGCGATGACTGTACGTTGCTTTTTAAGCCCTGTTGGTGTTTGCCGTGTTGTGTGTTTTTCTTTCCACTTTGTACGAATAACTTTATAGGGATCTGCACCAGAGCGGTGCCTCATAAAGCGCACTAATACATGTTCCGCAAGACATTCCCCCCTTGCACATGTGGCATCTTTTCCAATTTTACGCCTCCATGGGCATTCACCGCATTTAGCGTTTTCTGCACATGCGGCGCGTTCAGTACGCTTACAGTGTGCATTGCATTTCTTCCGTTTACAGCGTTTGTTCCATCGCCCTGCTGAGACCGTCCCGTAGTGTCGGTGTTCGGTCCGTAGGAATAATACTTACGGACGCGGCATTTTTTGCTACTTCCTGTGTTAGTTAGAAGAGTGCGTTTGTTTCTTCTGCTTTCGAGACTATTCCTGTGGAGGGGTGCACTTGCATCATCAGAGAACGAGCTTATGCTGTGTGTAATGAGGGGAACACTCAAACGAGTTTCTTCTGAATCCTTGTCTTGATCACATTGCTTGTTAGTTTCATGTGCATGCATGTCCTCTACCCCTTTGTCGCATTTTTCTGCGTCCAACATGTCGTCCTTTTCGGGTGTTTTTTGAGCAGCATCTCCAACCTCTTCCACTCTGCCGCTTTCCCTTTTTGGTATCCAATTATTGGTGTAACACAAATTTAGAAATTCCCTCTGGTGATTCAAATAAAGAATGCGATCTCTTGGTGAGCTATTTCTCAACTTTGTAATGATAGCCATTTTCAAAGCATCTAGCTCTCCATATCTCTTGACATTGTAATTTTTACTTAATCGTTTCCCATTCTCCCACCATCTGCATCTCCATGAAGAATTCCCACGACTTGTGTCTTTCCACACGCTATGAATGGGGTGAGAAGCATCCAGTGCATTCCTACCATAGGGTCCCCTCTCTGGTAACAAAAGAGTATTCCTAATAATTTCTTCAGCGATTACTTTTAGATCCCCTTCTTCCATAGTTAGGACCATTTCTTTATGTACATCATATTTTTTTTTCACTAATTCTTTTTTTTTTACATGTGCATATTTAAAATTATTTGACTCGTTTTTTTTTCTTCCTCTTCTTTTGAGTCCTTTTTCCGATTTGACTTTTCTCGTGTAGTCCATCTCATCTTTGCATTGCTTGATGCATCCATACCCTCTGTGTGTATCATTAAGGCTGCATGTGGTACTTTCGCTTTTCACGCTCGTGACTCCATTTGGGGAAGTGTCTCCGTCGACAGTGCTATTGCTATTTGCGGTGGCGCGCGTGCTGCTGTTTGTGTTGGCCCTGGTTTCACTGCCCAAGCTTGTGATAATCGTGTTACTCCCACTAGTGTTGTTTACACTTCCTACGTTAACTATACTTACATTACTCTTCTTCTTATCCGGGTATTCTCCTTTTAACTCATCATCGCTGTCGTTATCCAATTCATTCGTCCCATCATTGTCATTTTCAATATGTTGACAACCAAATCTATCAACCTGTGAATCGATCATGTCACGTGCATCCTGGGTATTTGCATTTGTGCTCCCTAACGTGCACCTTGGGGTCCCTGATTTGCTTCCGTCCGCATATGAGTGGGTGTTTAGTCCATGTGCGTAACCATATTGGCAGTTGCTAGATAAACCAGATGGATCGCCATAGGAGTATCCTCCTACGTTGCTATCCTTGTTGTTAACATCACCACGAGATGTACCATTGTACACTGTACTCTTCATGCAGTTCAAACCAGTTTGATCTAAAATTGCATGCACATGTCCTCCATGGGATGGCATACCGGCATGCATGGCACTGCTGTTATTGGCAATACTGCCTGGACGGTATGGGGAACCACTTACGTTCTTAGCGCCGTACATATCATTTGCGCATTTTTGCAGCTTGTCTATGCTATGAGCGACTGCTTTGTTCGTGTGATCACCACTGTTATCGCTTTCACTGTCACTGCTGCTGTCGCTTTCACTGTCACTGCTGCTGTCGCTTTCACTGTCACTGCTGCTGTCGCTTTCATCGTCACTGCTACTGTCGCTCTCAGTTCCTGTTTCATTGTGACTGCTATTGTTTTCGCCATCGCCGCCTTTCCCATCGGCGTGCTCCTTTTTGATCTCCACGTTCAAGTTGCCACCCATGCCAGACATGTGCGAATAGAAGTAACTGAACTGTTGCACATATTTTTCACAATGTGCATGAGTCAAAGATTTACCTTCTTCCCATGCATCGTTAGTGAATTTCACTTCATTCACATGGTTGTTCACACAATGTGCCTCATTCAAGTAATTGTATTTTTCGGGGGTGTACATGCAATTAATATTTTTCACATGTATATGCATTTCATTTAAGTGTTGCACACTATTTCCATCACTATGCGTGAACTGAGTTTTCTTTTGATACCCACTTGCGTCTCGGTTATTAGCGTTTCTCTTTGCATTTATTTCTGTATTGACGCTGATGCTACCTTTATCTCTCATACCTTGATCAGTGTGCATACATCCTTTGCGCCTGCAATGTGCGCTGTTTCTCGGGCTGCAGGCGGCACCAGTTTCCTTATCCCTTTCGGATCCAATTTCCGCCTTCACGCGTGGCATACACATTTGGCTACAGCGCAGCTTTCGCCCCTTTATTCCATCTTCACTTTTCTTCATATTCTCCATTACACCTGTACCAAAATGTTTTTTCCCCCATGAATATGTATTGGCTTCCGCCCCGTCTTTACATTCATTTCCTGCACCTATTTGACAGGTATTGGAGCTCCCTTCAGCAATACACCCACCGCAGTGATGTTTCTCCACAGCATTCGTATTGATCCTCTCACTTTGGTTCACTTCACTGGGGGATGCTCCACCATACGCGAGGGAATCATGATGGTTATTAAAACCAGAGCTATCACATTTTGTGGAGATACTTAACAGATTGTATGTGTTATTGTTAATCGGAGTGGTGCTTATGCCAAGGGTACTATTAGATTTGGAGCTAATGGGAACATCAGTGGACATGATATCATATTCATTTGCCACTTCGCTCTTTATTCTAATAGTATTTGTGTCTTTAGAAAAATTGATACCCTCCTTTAACTCGTTCTTTATGGGAATGCCATTAGTTACCCTACTCACATTTGTGTTATTCGTATTGTTCTTGTTAACAGAGAGGCTTTTTACCTCATCTGGCGCGGGGGCGAAGTAGTCGCCACGGAAATAAAAGGGCTTGTTCAGGCTGTACTCAACGTTGGCGTAAAAATGGGGGCAGTAGTGTTGGCAGGTCTCGTTAGAATGGCTCCAATTGGCCCCATAATTATTTTCATTTGGGGACTGTTGACAATCCAGGGGGAGCTGGTCATTTGTGTGGTTACAATACTTGCAGTAGTTTAACGCGTACGGGGTACCACAATGATCTGTATTACTGGGCGAACACGCGTTGCTGAATGTAACTCCGTTGCTTGGCGTATTCGAAGGACCGAACTTATCGGCGTAGCCGTCGTCGTTAAAATTGTAAAAATATCCTCTGGGATAATTATCGTCTCCACTGACGTGTGCAACACTTTCAGGGGGACCCGCATTAACATAAATCCTGGAACTCTCGTCACCGTGCAAGTTTACTTGATCAGTTGCTCCCAGCCTACTTAAATGGTAGTTACTTGGCATGTCTCCTCTTAAGGAATGGGGAAAAATTGAGCACCCATCATCCACAGGGTAGCGTGTTTTGTACACACAATGATCCGACAAATAGGGCAAATTAATTCTACACAAATAACCGCATGTGTCACATTCTCTTTCACCATTTGTGCCGTAATTACACAGATTGCTATTTTCCTTCACACTATTCTGCCTATCGCATGAAGATATATTTTTAAAATTTTTGTTTGGGCTTTTTTGATGTGCAAATGTGTCGTTCCGATTGCCACATAATACATCAGAGAAATTGCAGTTGCAGTCATCCTCCAGATTGAAAACGTCATAAGGTATGTTACTGTGGTTGATTATATTTCCCGTGTCTATCCTTAAGTTTTCTACCCCATACTTCTTGTAATTATGTGCACTCTCTGTGTTGTATTTTGTTGTGCAATAATTTAGTGAATTTGCTTCTCCACTTTTCGTCCCTGCATGCGCACTTTCGTCGTTCTTTTCAGTTGTGGTACAGTGTGGGCTATTGACAGTTGTCCTCTGCAGGTGGTCACGTTGGCCGTTATGGTGGCCGCCAGGTTGTCCGCAATGCTGGTAGTCACTGACGTTTCCACTTTCTTCATCACTTTCGTCATCCCTTTCGTCATCCCCTTCGACGTCACTTCCGATATCACTCCAGGATTCCCTTTTTACCTTCACTTTGGTACTATTCGTATGCCCCGCTTTCTTATCTCCCGGAAGGTGTCTCTCCACATCACACTCCTGACCGCACACTTGGACCTTAATGGTCCCTAATTCGCGCGCTCCGTTTTCATTTGTTCTCCCATCATTATTGCCTGCGTTGGGATTACTCCCGCGGGGCATTACCTTCCCTTTGTTAGCTGGGCCAGGACTGTAACTGTCCTCTTCCTTAATGTTAACAACTGGATAGTTCGCACAATTTCTTGCGCAAACATCGACAGTGTTATTGTATGCGGCTGTGTGAATATACTGATCGGATTGACCATTACCATCCGTGTTAGCAACCCTCGCGTCTTGTGGATCCATTTGTTCCCTCTTAATGTGCACGGTTATGTTATTATTATCCCCGTTTATACAGGAACAGCTATTTTCGGGGACAACTTTTGTACTGCTTGTAATGGGGGCACAATAGTATTCGCTTTTGACTGAACATCTGGGAAACGAATCTCTTCCGTTGTTATTGTTTTGGCTGCATTGATCCTTTAAGTTATTTGAAGCGCTTGCTATATCCATTTGGGGATCATTTTGGTAATAACGGCAATCATGTGTAATTAACACTTGGGATGGCGGTAAGTTATTGTACGTGTTGGTCATGCACGAATTATCACCATGGTTTGGGAATTCGTTGGTACAATGAAAATTATTTCCCTCCTGGCAATATTCACAATTGTTACACTGCAGGCCTTCATCGCACAACTTGGCGCCATTGCAATTGCATGTCCCATTGTAGCAGCATGACCCATCGGCTCCAACACGTTGAAACGAATGAACCCCACTGGAACAAAAACAGTTGTCCTGACAATTCGGGTCGAGCACCCCAGAATTGTTCACACCTATCGAGTGGTTGTATGGATAGCCTGAGCAAGTCTCCACAGAAATATTCGTGCACTCATTTGGGCACGTAATCTTAATATAGGGGTATTGATATTCACTAAAATTTTGTTGCGTCTCGGAATTGGGACAATTATCCAATCTGGGGTGTGGGATGGCATAGCTGTTAGTTGCTCCTGTGCCGAATGCTTCGTTATTAGTTTGTATCACGTGATTACCTGGAGGCACATGTACGTTTTCGCCATGACCTAGTGCAGATGCACATTCCTCTGGTACGCGCGCGTTTGTGTTTGGGTAAGTCGGGGTTGTGTATGTACTATCGCCTACGATATTGATGTGTGCGTTTGGGGCAATCACAATTGTGTGTGCACTAGCACCTGGCATGCTTACATTAGCATTTACTGTGCCTGTCACAATGAGCGCATTTGGACGTCCGTTTGTATCTAACATGTGCGTGCATGAATAAGGCAAACCTTGATCATCGCGCAATCCGCCCTGAGTGATGTATAACTTGGTATTGTTTTCCAAGTCAAACTGGTTGTGTAGCGTATCCGTCATATTGCCATTATTCCGGACAGGAGTTACGCTACTCATTCTTGCGCTCGTGGTTGTGGTCGTCGCTGGACTTACTGCGGTGTTCGGGATGGTGTGCAATTGTGAGGAGGTAGCCCCTTGGTTAAGATTCACCAGGAGGTTAGACACTTCCGTTTCTATTTCTCTCTCCATTCTGCAACCGAACGATGTATTTTTATTAAGACTTGAGCGATCATTAAATTCTCCCATTGCATGTGTTTCCATGTTTGCGATGTTAGATGGAAGACGTGGCTCATCTTTGTTCATACTTGAAAAAAAACAAGAATTCTTATGAGCATTTTGTTTTTCTTGGTTTTGCAGTTCTTCTCTCCCCCATGGATTCGCTGCTTCCTGCGCGACGGCCTCTTCTGCAGGTACCTCAGGTACAGAATAGCAGTCTTCCTTTCTTATGACCCAACGAGGGGGGTAGCACTCCACTGGGTAACTCTCCACGGGGTTACTACCCACCGGGTAGCGGTCCAAGGGGTAATTTTCCAAGGGGTAATTTTCCAACGGGTAACTCTCCAATGGGTAACTCACCACAGGGTGACTACCCACTGAGTAACTGTCCACCGGGTTGCCCCCTACAGGATAACCTGCCACAGGGTACCCCTGCCAGATATCTGCCCCTGAAACATGTTCGTTTGAAATATCATCCGACATATGTTGCCCATCAGGAAAGTTTTCTTCCAAAATGCTCCTTTTTAAAAGCTGTTCTATGGACGATTCCACCTCTCCATAGTGGTTCCTATTCCATGGTGTCCCATTCGACAAGTCCACTTCGTTAGTATATAGACATGGTGTGTTCTGGGTGCCAATACTATTCGTCATATAATAATGCTCCCCTTGATCAGCAGCATTAAAATGGTTAAGTGGAACATCTGAATTGCTCTCACACAAAGGTTCGTTCTTGGCTATCCCTAGCTGCAACATTTGATGATTCGCTGCATGTTCCTCTTTCATTTCCTCGTAAGGAATATATCTTTCGCCTTGATAAGGAGCTACATTTCCGTTCACATCATTCGAGGGTGCATTCCACTTATTGCAGCTATTAATCAGATTTTCCTCTTCAGCATACTCATTACAAACCCGTTTTGACTTTGCATTTCTGGAGCATTCTGAAGGGGCCCTTACATTATTAGATTCTGGTGTTTCTTCGATCGTAATGCATGGGGCGTACACTTGGTTCTCCTTCCCATCGTGTCGTTGCTCATCGTTCCTGCAGGTGATATTCAACTGATCATTGGAAGCGTCAATGTTCATGTGTTCTTTTGGCTCTTTCTTCGGACATATTAGTGTGTTAGATTTGTTTTCCTTATTGACATCCCCTGTTGCAGAAATGTTGCTTCCATTTTTTGCTGCATTTTTTTTTCCTTTGCGTCTTCTACCCTTGGTAGGATTATTTGGGGCACTCTTCTCTTCCATACCAGCTGGAAACTCCAATTTCTTTTCTGTTTTATCTTGCAGTGTGCTTCTTTCAACTAGATCTTTATCTGCATCTGTTTGTTTCTTTTCAGCTTTCAGGCCTTTATTTTTCAATGAACATTTTCTTTTGCCTTTTTTTGGGTTCTTATTTTCATATGTGCACTTGGAGATCTCTTCTTTGTGCTCGTTTTCCTGCCTTTTCTCACTAAGGTGTGTATCTTCTTCGTTCTTGAGCTCAACGGTATTGGAATTGTCAGCCTTGAAGTTTTCCTCATGTTTTCTGTTTCGTTCGTCCACGACGTTAAGGTCTACCTCAGTTCCAACATTTGCATCAGCAGGCACAAAACTCGCACAGTACGCGCACCCAATACAATCCACAAAACACTTAGCATTCAGCGCACAGGTGTCATCGTTGCGATTTGCGCAGATGTTGCCATCATGATTAGGCGGGTCAGTCTTATGGGCATTGCCGAAAAACATGTTGTTCATAGCAGAATCATCCTTGATGGGTAAAAAAAACATCTGCTTCTATGCATCAAAAACAGGTAAGGGTATACATTTGCCACGATTGAAGCTGCTGTTGTCGGTTTTTTCGTTCTCTTGGCTGACACTATCAGAAGATATGAAATTGTCCTCACTAAGAATTTCCCTTTGATTGTTCATTTGTGTACTTTTATTGATGGCACCAGATTTGTTCACCATTTCTTTGCTTCTATTTAACGTGGAATTCTGTCCGTTCGTATTGGGAGAGTAACCACTTGGTGCTTCTTCGTTTGAATCTCCGATTAAACAATGACACTGGCACAAAGTTTTCTCATGGATGGACCGGTCGCTATTCTTTAGGATGCCTAAATTAAGCATGTTCCTAGCACTTTCTTGTGAGGTGAATACCGCATTGGGACCGATTCCACTTTCTCCTGCTGCACATGGGGTGAAATTTACCTTGTGCCTCGAATTGTCAGTCGTGTTGTGTCCACAGTGGCAGTGCTCAGCTTTGAAAGGTTCTAGCATTGTGGTGTCCTGGGGATTCATTTGCTCGGTAGGTTTGTTGTTCTGCGGCTGCATTGGCGATGCGTCGATACTTCGATAGATTCGATCACTATAATTTTTGCCTTTTTTTTTTTTTTTTATTGTTCTAATTCCTTATTGCTATTTGGGTCTTATTTTTTGATTACGGTTTTATATTTTTTATTTTCCCGTTTACGTGCTTTTTGTTTGCACCATATACGGGATCATAGGCCTGTTGTCAGCGGGTCAACAGCGGTGGATCCTCCTTCTCCTAGGAGCTCGTTTTTGCTTATTAGAAGAAGGCAACAAAGGGATTTTTTTAAAATGCTCAATCCTTCAGGCTTGAGCTTTTGTCAATTTCTTCGCTTTTTCGATTCTCCAATTTCTCCAGTTTTTCGATTTTGTCGATTGTGGGATTGTTGGATTTTTCCAATTTTACCAACTTGGCCCTTTTGCATGCATGTACCTTCCTTAAAAATGCTTATTCTCCCTCTGGTTAGTTTTGCCCCAATTAGGGTCGCTGGTTAGGTCGATTCTGTTTGTTCAGTTGGGTCAGTAGGATGACTATGATCAGTTTGTTAGTTTAAAAATTTTTTTTTTTTTTATTGTATCGGGGTTGATATATGTATAATTCCCTTGTCGATTCTATAGCAGGAAATTTTTCTTTTTAATTTTTTTTATAAATACAATACAACTGAGTGCTATTTTAGTAGATTATTTCTCTTTCGATCCCCGTGTGTGCATGTGAAATTTTCCACTTTCCTTGTAAACGCTCCAAGTCAAAAGTTATATACAATTCAAAGTGCTCTACTAAGCGTGCAAGCATGCATGCGCAATGAGGCACAAACATATATATATGCAGTTATGTATATGTAGCTACGTATACATGCCCACGTATGTATACACACTATTGTAGTAGTATTTAAGTTCACTTCTCTCTTCATAAAATAGCAAAGTGTGCAAACATGCATACTAAGTATTTCACAATGAAGAGGTTCCCTTTCTCCACAATTGTATATCACATGGGAAATTTTTTTTTTTCTTTTTTTTAGCAGAATCTCTTTTTGGCGTTTGTTATATGCGTGTAATTTGGCCTTTTAAAAATTATAATGTTGGAAATACCTCTATAACTGTTTCTTTTTTCTTTCTTATGGTATATAAAGGCTACGCAGGGGGGGAATACTGATTATGGTGGATAGGGAGCTGTGTGTTTCTGCGTTTTGTTCAATGAGCAGTTGATGAAGCTAGAAATTGGTCAAGTTAACAATTGGTGAAGTTAACAATTTATAAGTTCAACAATTGGGTAGTTTAATAATTTGTGAAAGTTTAGGGTTCATAAATTATCGCATAAGCAATAAAAGCTGAAAGAAACTTGGGTAATAAAATGTATTCCTGTTAACAATAGATATACACTTTCGATGTGTCGAAGAGGAATGTAGCACATTTTAAATTTAACATTTGTACTTTTCATTTGCACAAGTGTATGCATGCGTAAAGGAATGCATAAAATGAATGCATGATGATGGGTGTACATGATTGGGTGAATTATCGTACGCGTTTACACCCGTGGCTATGTGCGTACATGCAGGGAGACTCTCTTTTGAGTCAGAGATTCAAAAAGAGAAAAATCTCCATACCCCGCCTTCGCCCATTTGCACAAATCACTAAGCGCAGTGAACTGTCATACATGAACACTGTGAGCTTAGGCGTTTTCAGTTCAAAAAAAAAAGAAGTTCATATATATAAAAAGATCAGTGCAATACAAATGCACACCTAAATGTATGAACATATATAAATGTATGAACATATATAAATATGCAAACATATATAAATGTATAAATATATAAATATATAAACATATATAGATAAATACACATGTATATAAGATATTTATTTAAAGGTATACATTTAGGGGTATACATTTGTGTATACACTTAGGTATACACGTACGTATACACTTAGGGGTATCCATATTAATAGTGGAGAAAGGTGCAAAACGTGTAAAATTAGAAAAACGCGTAATACATGTAAAGCATGCAAACGCGTGCTATATGCACGAGCGCATATGTCGCACTGGGAGGCCTAAAGGGAACGACAGCGCTCCTGGAGAGCATCACGGATCCAAAGAATAATCCATATATAAATATGGAGTAAAAAATTGGGTATAATTTGCACAAAAATGAATTACTTTTAACTGTTAAGAAAGGGGGGGGAGGGGGGGTCATGCATGTAAGCACACCTTGAGCAAAGGAAAATCGCTCAGGGGGGGGGAGCGAGGTGTGAGGAAAAAGTGTGAAAGCCAAGTGTAGAAGGGGCGACAAAACAGCTACAAAACGGCGACAAAAGTGCGACGAAATGGAGACTAAATAGAGACGAAACAACAAAAAAATGACAATAAAACTTTAAACTTTGTGACGGAGGAGAAACAAAGTGTTCAAAACAATTTTCGCCAGAAGAGAACGCGCACTAGGCTATCGGTAGATCCCCCGTGGGAACCATAATGCACATTAAAAAAAAATATATACGGCACACGCGGAGACACGAGTATGGGTATAAAATTATATGCACCATGCACTTTTGAGCCATAGAGGTGGAATAACTCCAAGGGCAAGTATGTGCATATATAGGAATACCGAAACGGTACATAAACGGTGTACGCCAAAGGAGCTGACAGAGAGCGATGAAAAATGAGGGGGATACGCGAAAAAATGGAGATAGGTAAAATAAGGGGGGGTAGGAAAAATAACGGAGACACGCCAGAAAAAGGAGCCAATAAAGTAATGGCACTATGTCAAGATGATGTGCATACACAAAATGAGGTAGGCACAATGAGGGGGATACGCCAAATGGTGAAGATACGTCAAACAATGAAGAAGCATACACAGTATGCAAAAACGAACACAGCTTCCGCTAAAAGATGCGGCACTAAACATACGTACATTAAATGAAAAAAAACATAAATGAAGTGTGCTCTCAATAAGTTCTTCACATCCAAGTAGCAGTATGAGCGCCGTTAGATGCTCGAAATATGCGTATTCTAAGCGTACTTGAAAAAACAAAGGAATGTACGTAGCATACGCATTATAAGCAAACCTATACGTGTGCACATACGCATACTTTACATATACATATGTATAGATATGTACAAATATGTATTTTTTGCGTATTCATATGTATAGGTACGTACAAATATATACCTATGTATATGCATATGTATAGGTATGTACAAATATGTACTTATGCATATACATATAAATTTATATGCCAGTGAATACGTATATGTTTAGTGAATGAAAAAAAAATGGGCGTCATAGTGTAGTGACTCAATATACAGAAATAAAACTGATGTAAGAAAGGTTAAAGGAAAAAAAAAAAAAAAAAAAGAATTCTTTATTATTTTTTTTTTGAATAATAGAAAATTGCATATAATGACACTTTTTATCTTACATTCTTTATTCATACGAAATGGGTAATCGTTCCTAAGTAGGCATATGGAAGTAAGCTTCTTTTCGACATCGTCGATGGTGCTCATGTAGGCTCTTAAAAATTATATGACCCCCATAAGTCACTAAAAGCGATATTTTTTTTTATTTGCTCCGCGTATGCACCAGTATTCATGTGAGGGGGTGTATATAATAAGTAAAAAAAAAAATAATTATATAATAAAATAATAAAATAAAAATACTATAAATACATAAATAATACACTTGTATATATGCTTATATGAAGATACATGGTAATGCAGGAGTGCATTTCACATATAGCCATATACAGGTCTGCGCATGCTTAAATAAGTCTTCCCCCTATGCGGGCATACTCACGTATTAATGCCCCCGGCAGGGTCGGGAACTAATATATGAAAGAATACATATGCCAAAGCAGGAAGATACGAAGTATTTTTTGTATCAGTATGCGCACCCTTTCTTTACCGTGCATCGCCACATGTAGAAGCATGGCCAAAGGAGCGTTAAAGCAAATATGTATTTTAGTAGGCACTCAGTAAGCCTTCTCATTATCGTTCGCAAAAGCACCGGTAGGAAACCTTCGCATTGGGCCTTTGATGCATCCCCCTCCGAAGGTGCACCTAACAGCGAGAGACGGTATATCTTACTAATATTCCGGGGTGGAAATTAAGAAGTAATACAAGAAGTATTGAAAAAAAATAAAATACAATAAAAGGTATTTCACTAAATTAATATCTTATGTGTGGAGGATACTGCACAGCTTGCAAATTAATGTCATATGTTCACAGTCAGTTATGCAACTGCGGGTCGATAAGATGTAGGATGTTCGAAGAAGTCAGCATAAAAAGGGTAAAAAGAGAGTAAAATTTAGGTACACAAATTGGCGCGAGAATGAGTATACCCCATATAAGCCAAAATAAGTAAAACATATGCGCGCAAAAGTCGGCACAAAAGTAAGCATAAAAATGAGTGCACAAATGAGCAAAAAAAAAATATAAGTGCAATTTATTCAGATTATACAACTAAGAATAAAAAGCAAAAAAATGATCATCTGTGACAACAATTACAACAATTGTGTTAATAGGGTTGATGCAAGGTGAAAAAATGTCGGAACTCTTCGGGCCGCCCAAAAATGAAACAAAAAATGGGGGAAAAAAATAATAAAATAAAATAAAAAAATATATATATATATAAAAAGGAATACATTTATAAAAGAGGTTATAATGATGCATGTTCCTTCATGAAAGAGTTGCTAGAAATATTATCAAGTTGACCAACGCAACGGTACGAAGGTGAATAATGTCACCAACGCAACTGTGTTAACATGAGTAATCTATAAAAAGGATCGAAAAATGAAAAATAGTTCCACATAATCGAAAATAAATATGCGTAAAAAAACACAGAACAGGTAACTAAAGTGGGGAGAATTTTCATGTTGTTGTATCCAGCCCCCTATCCGTATGCAAAAATATGAAAAAAAAAAAAACATCTTTTCATGTGTATCCCAAGGGCATACTGTAAAATTTATATTTATATAGTCATAAAAAAATATTAAAAAATGTATAAATATAAATATGTAATTTAAAAAAAGAAATTTTTATTTTTTTTTTTGTCGCCATATGTATCTCCGGGAGGGAGAATACAAATTTGCGTTAGTACACTATAAGAATACTTTACAACGACTAAAAAAAAACTTTGTATATATTTTATTCAAAAAAAAAAAAGAAAAAACTATTTAAAACACTGAATGTAACGTTTTTTACAATTGGGGTTGCATAATTTTTCATAATATATAATGTAGAACAAGCGAACAATTTCGTTTCCAACAAGCATACATAAATACAATGAGCACAGAAGTGTATTTATTATACAATTACGTGATTGAGGATTAAAGATGCACTTATTCTACAATTATGTGATTAGGTTAGGGTTAAAGGTGAACTCATACTAAGTGAATTAATCAGAATATGGAATAAGTGCATTAAGAATATTATTCAAACAGCAGGGATTGTATAGCGGACATGTATAAGAGTATCCCCCTTGCTTTCCATCTTGTGGCAGTCGTACAACTGTTGTTTTGTTTTATTCTTCAACAACTGTTCTAACAGGTTAAAAATAATTAATGATATACATGAACAGATAAGAACTCTTTAGCTAGGTCGAGAAAAGAAAAAATTAATAAAAAAACGTAGAGGGGAAAAAATGCGAAAAAAGAGAAAAATACGAAAAATACCAAATTCGACAAATCAGACAAAACATGCATACATATAGTTAAACAACAAGAAAAAAAATCGGAACGAAAAAAAAGCGATTAAAAGCACAGTGCAAGCCTGGGACAATTTTTTTTTTTTTTAAACCCCTGTAGAGATGTATCAGTAATGCTGAATACAAGAATAAATCGCTGAGACGGGGAAGCGTCCAGGATTGTCCAAAAATAGAATACATGAAAAAAAAATCGATAAAAATGCATTATCTGTGGAAGTGGTCAAAAAATAGCCATTTTGAGAAACTTGCAAAAAATATTGATACTTTGGAAATTTTTAAACAAATAAGAAATTTTGTAAAATTTTCAAATAATGCTCAACTTTGAAATAAATTCTCAAAATGCTTTAGTTCGAGGAAAGCGTTGTATGCATAACCTTCTGGTGAAATATATAAACTTATGCGCAATTTTTTTCCCCGTATTCTTTCTATTATAAATTATTAGAGAAAAGAAAATTGTATGGGTTGCACGAGTGGGCAATGAAAAATACTGTTGCTTTTTGTTTCCTTTTTTTTTTTTTATTTTTTTTTGGGCTTTTTGTGATTTTGGTTTTCTGTTTTTTTTAGCTTGCCTTTTTTCGAACTATTCGATGAAGGCACGTTGTGAATACATTGAGCCTTCAATGTCAAATAAATTAATGAATACAAGCATACGTATGCATGTACGTTCGTACGTCTTCAATGAAAGAACAATTTTGTTTGATCTTCACCAAGAATACACTAGAATGAAACTGCGGACAAGATTAGAACAGGTTGGTTACAAAAAAAAAATAAATAAATAAAATAGTATTATTAGGAAAAGGTATAATTTGAAGAGAATTTTGTTATATATATATATATATATGTATTTTTTTTTTTTTTTTTGATTCATTTGATGATTGCGCAGGTGTAATAAATTTACTCTCAAAGGAAAAGAAGAACTGTGTAGGCTTACATACATATATGTACATTCGTAAGACCACTGTCCTGGCTTACGTATCTGCGCATGCTAAGTGAGCATACTGCACATCCTCACTGTGTGTGCCCATTTTATGCATTTCTCTGCGTATTTTTTGGTGCCCCTCGCAGACACCTTTCGTTTGATCTTTTCACGAACACATAGGCAGAGTTCCCATCCATTTTCAGCATCTAAATCAGATACAGAATAATAAGAACAAAATATTCCGTAGCAGAAAAAAGAATAATGAGTATTTTTTCTTTTTTTGAGCTTTTTGGAAAGGCCCAGTTGGGCATAAACATAGACATTTTGAACCTATGTGGGTGAACACAAATGCATGTATGGGGGAGCATGAACGAATGTATATTCCTTTTGGAGGGTTCAATCTGTGTATGTATTTATTTTCATATGCATGGATACGAAAAAAGGTTAACGTCCATTCAATATTTAGTGAACCTGCTGATGCAAGCCACGCACACACTTTGAACATTTAAATGCTTACATAAAAAAAAGTACGAAAACAAGGTGAGCAATTTTCATCCTGTTTCGCGGGGGAGACATTCGTTGAAGACGCACTAGGAATACAAATAACATTCTGGAGCTACATGAACCGGCACATGAGTGTATGTTTGTATATATGTAGGATTGAAGAAGGGGTGGGGGAAATAAAAAAAGGAAAATTGACCCAATTGTGTGTGCACATTGCTCATACAGATCAAATGTGCTTCTGATATGATCAGCAGAAAGCTACAAAAATGATATTGTGTTCTAGGGCGGATGATTAAAAGAATTTTCTTTCTTATCCTTTCCTTCTTCATTCATTACTCATGCATTTCATTTTATATGACTTCACGTTTGTTTTATTCTTTTTGTATTTTGGAAAACCCGATGTGGTGGAATGCGAATGCCCTTATTGTGTAATGTTAAATTATCGAATAGTGCACATATGTGTGCATGCATATTTGTGTAACCGAAGATGGCCTGCTTCCGCTCGATCGTTTCGAAAAAACATCCATATAAAGAACAACCGACTTTTAACACCTTGGACTGAAAAAAAAAAAAAGAAAGAAGAAATCATCCGGCTTGTAGTAGCGATGGTTAAAAACGCCCTTTTCGGGCCTTTTCTGGTATTTCTTGTTTTGGGGGGAAGGATTCGATCCCACGTCTGGATCACATCATCTTTTTGAGAGTTACAAAATGACTACATACACGTTTTGCAAATAAAAGCATGCACACATGTATACATGTGTGTATAAACGAATACACAAACGAACGCACAAACGAATGCACAAACAAATACGCATAGAGGGCTCATTTTTTGCGCGAGCTTTTAAGCATCCTACCGCAGAAGGCCATTTCAACACTTACAAAACATAAAGCGACTTGTAAAAATATAATGACGTATCAAGGTGTGTAATTAAAGAACAATGTGTGGTTTTTTCGCTTTTCTCTTGGAGCCTTTTGATGAAGGATGGTCCACAAAATGTTAAACGTTGAAACATGCTAGTAAGAATGTACACATATATTTATGCATAAAAATAAATAAAGTACATGCACTTCTTTCTTTGCTGGTCTAGGCATTTCACTGCTGTGATGGAAACATGTTTCGCAAGGATGTGTTAAATGCTTCTAAAAAAAAAAGGTTCATGTATTGAGTTGTAATTTCTTTCTTTTTTTTTTTTTATGCAGCGGTGGTAATTGAAGAATGCCTTAATCATATTCCTTTATGCTTTGAATCCAAAGATTCTTTCATTTCATCAATTCGGGAACATAATTGTGTTAATTGAATGATGAACCTTCGATCGAAATGAATTGCTTTTGCAAAAATGTACGTAATGATGTATACCTATGGATAGCTTGAACATAGGTCCAAATGGAGGAAGAGAAAACGAATGCCTTACGGAAATAAATACTCACACTGTAAATCAGTTTACTCGAAAAAAAAAATATTTTCCTTCACATTTTTATGTGTAAACATGTGTATACACATTCTGCACTTATGGGAAGGTACAGTATAGATCTTTTTCACTTATACGCTTCGTTTATTTGTTAAACAATGACATACATGTTTGGTACACATTGACACTCTCTTGTGCACATTCACATGGAAAAATACACATTACAAAATAGCTTTACGTGCACTTTTGTTTTTCTCATTTTCTTTCGTCCAAATATGTTTTTTTTGTTCTTCTGTATTTCTGTGCAATGTTTTTTTTTTTTTTTTTTTACACATTCGTGTTGTTCACTCTCTTGGCACTACCACCTTTTTTATTTTGTTTTTTTTTTTTTTTTCGTTTGGAGGATCCCAACGGAACTCTTTCAATTTCGATATAGAACGAGGAAATTGAATGAACCCATCATTATCCATTTGATGTTCCACCAATGGAAAGCTTCACTGTCCCGCTCGCATGCAACTGTATATAAAAATACATGCATGCATGTATACACTTAGAACAGGAATACAGGTGCATACGCATTTGAATGTACACAATTTATAATTTTTCACGAGATATGAGAGGCTCCTTGGCTAAACATTATATCATGACGCGAAAGCCAATGCGTTGCTGGGAGAATAACTGATTTCATACACATCAGGCTTGCGCGCGGGAACATGTGCATAGTGCCACATGCAAGAAAAAACGTGAACATAGCATGCATGAATGTGGTAAAATAAACGTGGAAAATTAAATATGGAAAATTCAACACGAAAAATTAAGCATGGAAAATTAAACCCTGAAAACTAAGCATGGAAAATTCAATATGGAAACATAAACATGGTAACCCGTGCATTATAACATATGCTATGTAACACACTCGCCATAACGCATGCAAGCCGAAGCGCGTGCATAATGTCATAGAGATAATAGCGCATGCGGTAAATCCCGCACATAATGGGACATGCAAACACAGGCAGTGACGGGTGTGTAAAAGGGCACACACATAACAGCACATGTAGGTGAAATTGTGCATAAGAAAACGCGAATACAATAACAAGTACATCATACCACCTACCAAATCGCACCTGTACAACCACATCTATGGATGAAAAAAAAACAAACAACATGATGTGCAAAGTCAACACAAAATAAACCCTAATGATTATTCACACACATAGTCTATTTGTAGCATAAATGTCGACGTAAATTAATTTTTTTCTGTGTTCTCGAGTGTACTGTCCGCTGAATGCATTCCCTCTGTATAGACTGTACAAATAAATGATTTATGCTTTTTTGCTATGTGTGTACACATTTGTGAAATTCTCCTTGATCTTATTTACACTTGACTTTGTTCTGCAATTTATTTTCCGTACAAATGCATATCCGGATAAGCCTAAAGTTCACATACACTTCCTTGTTCACATATTTTTC